AATCCTAATACGCCGCCCCGATGTCAACCCTAACTCTGCTACTTTGGCTGGGGGAACACCACTCCACCAAGCTTCTAGAAATGGCCATGAAGGAGCAGTAAGTATGCTACTAAGCCGCACCGATGTCATCCCCAACTCTGCCGATCGGGGTGGCCAAACACCGTTCCACCATGCTTCTGTGAATGGCCATGTAGGAGTAGTGGGGATGCTACTCAGCCGCATCGATGTCAACCCTAGCTCTGCCGGTTGGGATGGCCAAACACCGCTCCACCAAGCTTCCGCAAATGGCCATGAAAGAGTAGTAGCGATTCTACTAAGCCGTGCTGGTGTTAACCCGAACTCTGCCGATCTGCATGGCCGAACGCCACTCTTCCTAGCTTCCGCAAATGGCCACGAAGGAGTAGTAAGGATACTACTAAGCCGCATCGATGTCAACCCTAACCCTGCCACTTGGGTCGGAGAAACACCACTCCACCAAGCTTCTGCAAATGGCCACGAAGGAGTAGTGAGGATGCTTCTACGCCGCCTCGATATCAACCCCAACTCTGCCGGTTGGTATGGCGAAACACCACTCCACCAAGCTTCCGTAAATGGACACGAGAGAGTGGTAAGGATCCTGCTAAGCCGCGGGGATGTTTACCCCGGCTCCGCCGATCGCTTTGGCCAAACACCTCTCTATCTAGCGGACCGCTATAGACACACTGGAGTAGCCAGGTTACTACAAACCTATCCACATTTCCCCTAATCATATCCATTATAGTCCTATGCCTGGTTCCTCTGACGCCCCTCTCGCACTTCAACTAGTCGATCACGACCCCGCCGTCCCAGATGTTCCCCCATCTCCCCACCGGCTACACATCTAGTTTAGCTTCTTGGTTTAGCTGCATTACATAGCGTTTATTCGTTTTGTTCCTTTCTTGTTTCGCGAAGTTTCGGCAAGCGCTCCAAACTATCATTTTCCACTAATTCATCTCGGCGTTTCTCGTTTTCTTGTTTGGGTATTCCTTTATTTTTGTTTCCAATCTCATGCATTGCCGTTTCGAGAGTTGATAAAATTTCCGGCGTCACAATCTTCTCTAGGTCCTAGGAGTAGGAGAAGTAAGAGTTAATGATTGTTTCTGAACTACTTAAAAGTTTCATAATACTGATAATGTGTATAATCCGGGGGCCTCTCTGTGGGGGTTAATGCCTGATCAGGCGGTGGGGAAAAAGTGTTTTTTCTTTTTTTTTCTTTTCTCCGTATGTTGGGGGAGAGATAGAGAACGTTAGGTAATGCCACCTGTGTAGTGCACATAGATTTAGGCAACGGATTTGACAAGGGGCAGAGGGGACAGCGAATCATATCTGGGGGACACTATCCCTGCTAACCTGGAGACATGGCGGGAAGTGTGTGCAATAGGATAGCAGATTTGGAGTATCATGAGATATCCCTGCTGCCAGCGTTTGAACGTACCTCTCGTTTTGAAACATCTCACCTACCTACCGTAGCTTGATTGGTGGGCGTGGGCCGCTCGATATGAGATTTCTATATTCTCACTCGGTCACTTGTTTCCGCTGAGGGCCGGGTTGTTCGGTTAAGATTGAGGTCTGCTCCTGTATTTTTTGTGTTTTTTTTTTATGAATGTTAAGTGGCACGGCCAAACACCTGCTGTGTGGGGATGATCAATGGTCGTTTCCATTCTTGTTGAACTTCTTACCCGTTCATCAGCCCACGCCTCTGCAGGGGTATCATGCGGATCCCGACAGACTCAAATGTTATAATACTCATTTTTTTCACAACACAACTCTTCCTTCCGGCTATTTTGAAACCTGATTAATTAGGGTTAGGGGTAAAGCTAGGAGGTCTCTAGTACGCCTACTCTGCGGCGCCGAAAAACATGAGGTCTTTTATAATGCCGGCTCCGCCCCGGGCTTCCCTGTGCTGCTGCCGAGTGTTGATACTGGACTCGTGTAGGCGTTCTCGGGATTGAGAATTGTAACTCCCTTTTCTGGTACTGCGTCCTGGGTGCTCTTCAAACGCTATAATGGTGCCGAGAAGTAGGTGAGCACTGCTGGGCGAGAGAACAAGCAAGAAGCAAGAAGCATCGTAGCTGGGGGAATGGAGGAGGGACGGGGGGGTGCGGTGTAAATTCGGGTCTTATGTGTGTTCACGAAGTATCACTCGCTTTCTTATATATGAACGACTAAGTTGATTTTTCTGTCATGTTCATGCGAGTCCATTCTTCGCTGCCGCCCTCCGGCACACTCCTACCTTCCGGCTTGAAAGTGGAGTGTGGGTTCCCGATCAGTGCTGC